GTTTTCTTCCGTCCGGCTGTAAATAAGGCCGGCTCGAGTTGTCTTCCCACCCTTATCTGCACGGGCAGATCACACAGTCAGACCAAGTCAGCCGCCTGAAAGCTCAAGTGAAAGTTTCTTTCTGCAGACAACAGTTCCAGTGCACACTAGGAAGTCACACAGGGAAGCAACTTTGGAATGACAGAGTTAGAGTCCCTTTTCGGAAACGCATGCCTTAGATTCCTACACATACTGGCGTGGCACGTCTCTTCCATGAAATGAAATTAGGTGTTCCTAATATGAACAACTGCTTTTTCTCGGCAGACTAGCTCAGCAGATTCATCTTGTTGGGGAGGTGGGGGTGGTGTGTCTTTTTTGTTGTTGTTTCACTGCTCTGGGGCTTTGCTTGGATCAGCCAAAAAAAGACATGGATAGAAATACTGTCAATCTGGTCCAACTCCAGGAAGCTAATCATGCCTGAATCGCTCAGAGGAGTGTAACGATGGCAACCTTACAGGTATGTTGGCTTCTGTTCTCATCCACTTCGGCCACAGTGTCACCTTTACAATAAAGCAAAATACAATTTTGCAGGAACATCTTCTCCATAATAAAAGGAAAGGGGTGTTATTGAAGCCCCTTTCTTTGGCAAGTGGCACAAAGGTAATATTGAGTATTCACTACATTGAATTCTCCTAGCCAGCTGGTGTGTCCCTGTTAAGACTTTCATTTATGCAGCTTGAGCTGGAACCTGTTTGGTTCTCCCAGTCTTTTACTTTGTCGATTTGAGGGATAACAGCCAAAGTGAAACAGCTTGCAATTTGCACCTGTCTGCTCTGAGCATTCCATGTTAGATTCCGTGGTGAGCAAACCCTTCCCTGCTAATGAGAGTAAGACTGGGGCAAGGCTGGATGCGGTTTTGTTAGGGGGGTTTATAGTGTATTTTACTGTTTTATTTTTAGTTTTTTGAGACTGATCTGATAGGGACCTCCCTATTTTAATGTTTTAGAATTCCTGGAGTAAGACAATGCAGTTAAAAAACCCATAAAGTTGTAAATTCTTTAAAGAAATTTTTAAATGTCATGTAACTAAGAATTGAATTAATATTCTGCCTGCGTTCCCTTAGATGAGAAAGAAAAAAAATTTAAATTCTAAATTATGTCCAAATTGCTAAAAGCATAAAATACCTATAAGGACATTTACTTTGTAGAATTGGCAATGAAAGAAGGTAAACAAACAAACAAAAACATTTTTCAGACCTGTTTCAGAAACAGGACTAGTTTTAGAAATAATGTTAGGTAAACCTGAGCTCTCTGCTTATATTGCCTTTGGAAATTTAGTTTTCTGACTCCAAACTAAAAACTCAAGTGTATCACTTCAAAATCATGCCTAGATAAATATAAACACGTTTACACAACATTATTCACTGTGTGAATCACAGAATAAATTCACAATGACAAAAATGTCAGTACCTACGATTCTCTCCAACCTTTTCCAGTTCTCTGCATTCCCCTCAGCTTTGATTCCTTTGATGAATTATATCAGTGAGTTACCATCTATTTTGAAAGAATTAAGTTAAGCTCATTGAGATGAAAGAACTTTAATCATGGCTTATGATATTTTCCCAACCTATGTGTTAAAAAAAATCATAATAACATTTAAATAATTAGGCAAAATATTCCCTAAGAAGACCCAAAATTTAGTAAACTAAAAAAAAAAATTTTTTTAAAGCCTATTCATTAAAGGATTCTAAAAATGCCCTGCATTGGCACTTCCTGTTAAAATAGCAACTTGATATGATGATGGGTTGAATGAAGTCGAGGTAGCCACAAATGTGTTTCACTAGTAATTAATATAGTTGAGTATAGTTGTTGGCCCACATCTTGCCTGACAGATAACGTTCCAGCTAGTTCAGCGATGACCCTTTCAGCACAGCTTTAGGAGTTCTGCCAGCCAGTGCCGAGGCTGGTCAGGTCAAAGGGTTGAGCCATGTGTAATTCAGAACAGAGGAGGTCCCACGGTCACTCCACAAAAACAATTACACTACTTATTTCACTCTAGCCCTTGCCCAAAACTCACAATCCTCACAGTTTCAGAGCAGCCAATCTGATTCTGCCCCTGGGCAATAAGCCACATGAAAATATGTGGTGCTGTGTTTATAAATCTAATCAAAAATAGAAACAGTGGACAGGCACAATGAGGTCCTACTATAGATCATGGGAATCCCTGAAAATCCTGAAGGCACTTTTGTTTCAGGTCTATAGACTGACTCTCTTTTGCTACAACGTTGTCTGCTACCCTCGTTAATCATCCTCTGTGCTCCTGAGTGCTACAAAGGAGGCTAAATTTCTACTCGCTTCTATACTTTCCATCCATGGATAACAGTATGAAAAATAAAGCTTAAAAGGCTGCTTTTAAAAGAAAAAAAAATCAAAGAGGGGGCTTCTGTTACATCCATCTTACCTCTCTCTCCATGTTCTCAGCTCCTTGCCCTTGGCAATGCACAGATTCAAATCAAGTTCCTCTAAAACAGAAAAATAATATTTGAGAACTAGAGTAAATTGACCCAATCATGAGATACATTAAGCAATTTGGGGTTGGAGAGCTATGATGCTACTTAATGGCCCTGAAAAGTCTAAGTATAAAGTCAACAGGACACAATTTGGTGTCTTAATTTTATTGTTGTTGCTCTTATTTATTTAGCCAGACTCCCAATAAACTGAGGGTCAGTAAATATTCATAAAATGTTTTACAAAGGCAACCTCTAGGAAAAATTCAGGCTTGATTTAGAGAGCCTAAATTTTCTATTTTATGCCCCAAAGGTGACAAATTCAGACTGCACTGAAGATACAATGACAACTTGCTGCTGCATGCCTTAAGTAGTTGTACCATGTTTATCTTTTTAAAAATTACGAGTCTACTTTGCAACTATCATAAATAGATAATATCTGATAAAGTCAATGATAAAGATGTGTACTTAGGGGCCAAGTAGATGAAACCCTGGGAGCTTCCTCCAGCAAAGATATGAAATATAAAAATTTTAATGAAAGGAAATGTGTTTTTAACACTCTTAAAATTCCTTAGAGTCATGCAATAAATTATCCAGTTCAATCTGTAAGCTATTCCAGTTGATATTATTTCAATTGACAGAAATACTACACCAGAATCAGTCTAGGGCCAGATAATTATAATAAATGGAAAATTTTCAAAATGAATGATGGTCTCAGCATTTGTTAAATTACCATAAAGATTCACCAAAAGAGTCTTTTAGACTTGGAATTTGCACTTTTTAAATGGTTATCTGTATTTGGCAGTAAAACAAAGCATATCACCTATGAATGATACATGCAACATTTTTTTATTCAGAACTATCAATTATAGTTTTAAAAAGTCACTTCGCAAAATATAAATGAGCTTTTAAATAGATATAAATATTGGAATAAATGAAAGATTTTTTCCTTCTACTGCTAATTGTAAAATTCTTTTTTATGTAAGAGTAATATAAATGATTCAAAGATTATGTTGAATTACTTCCTAAAATAAGGGAAATACATGTAAAATTATTCAAAAGAGAAAATCATCAACAAAACAAAAAAGTTTTAGACAAATAGCAGAAATTGAAGTCTGAAGTGTTTCTTTCTTCCATGACACAGTGACTGAAGAGTAATTCATATTTCTGGGAATACGATATGTGGAATAGAAATCTGTTTTCTTTTATTTCCTTAAATTTGGTTTTCATCTAATAGGTAATATTTATCTTTTAAAATGTTTCTAAATTACAAAGTTGCTTGTGTTATTGTCATCATAACTTTATTTTTCAGATATATTACCCAAAGTTTACCATCCACAAAACACAAGTTGCCTCCATAATATCAATGGGATGTTCAGGAAACTCTCAAATAAGCCAGATCATTTCACTTCCTTCACAGAAGGCTGCATTTTAAAAATCTTTCTGAACATTCAGATGCAGTATTAGTACAGTAAGACTCAGTACAATTGTGAAATGAGATTAGAATCCCTCACCACCTCACACATAATATATGTGGTTGACTGTAGAGAGCAGCTTAATAGAAGTGAGTAGTGCATCATATAAAAAGCAGCTATCAACAGAGGAGGCATAAAACTATCCATTCCCCTGTCTCTGAAGTTTGTTTCTAAAGTTTGTATGAGCTGGAATTTGGGGGTTGTAGTCAGATCCCTCATAACTGGGGGACGGCCAGCAGAACATGGACAATGAAGAACATATCACCCACCTTGAGCCAGAGGAAAATTAGTGAACACATGACCTGGCTTTATACCATCAATAGCTTTTGGGCAATGTGTTGGCTCTGATTGAAATATTGATACATAAAAATATGTCCCAAGTGCAATTCCTAGGAGCTTAAAATGAGAAAATGAGAAAGAATTGTTGAAAGATCAAAAATAACCCTTCAGCTATTAAGAGCTCTGGCAAGTTGTGTGGATGGAGAGAAGAGGTGTGAGGCTGGGCTCCAGGGACCAGAGGAGCTGGATCAGTGCAAAGGACACCAGGGCCCCTGTAAATGTGTGCATGGGTAGCAAAGTGAAATTTGAGGAGTGAATAGATTAGGACTCAAGTTGGAAAATGTAAATGGAAGAAACATAGGAGCAAAGAATGGGGATGAAAATAAGCATAAGTTCATAGATGATGAGTAGAATTTGTTAGTAAATAATAATTTCAATAAGTTAGTGGTTAATGAGCAGCTACCATGTCCTCTTAACAAAACCTATCACTTGAGTAACTGGCAAAATACGAGTCTATCAGAAAACTGATGCATTTGCTAAACTATCTATGAGAACTGCATTGTCAAGAAAGCCCCAAGTAGCTTCCTTTTGGAGGGGGAAAAAAAAAAGAAGTTATAAACACTATAAATTTACCAAAAAATCTTAGTTTGGGCTTTATTGGGAACACTGAACTTAATAAATAAACTAATGAATACCATTACAAAATTCTCACTGTGGCTACAAGTTTGGACCACAATGTAGAGTATTTGTGGAAACACAAGTGGCCTACAATAGGGATCATATTTTAAAAGCTAATATCCAACTTGTAAGCATATTCATAATTGTAGCACAACTTGCTTGCAGGTAACCTGTTGGCCACATTCTGTTGAGTCCAAGTTAATAAGCAGCACTGATTTACTTTTTTGTTTGTTTTAAATGAAATGGCTTTCACTGAAATTGTTGACCTTGTATTGCAAAGGAAGCCTTGGAATTGCCAAATCTCTGATAACTGGTTCATTGCTTCCAGAGAAGGGAATTAACATGGCTACAGCTGTCATTGCATCGCACTTCTCCTCTCAAGCAGACCAGCAAGGGCGAAGATGGTGTTAGACAGAGGTTGCAAGCCAGATTCTGTCTGCAGACATGTTTTGTTTGAGCTCCACGGTGATTTGAAAAAATGTTGAGCCAATATTTAAAAATAAGAAAATTGCAAATTAAAATAAAAATCCAATTTCTAGTTCCTCTTAGAAAATTAAAACTTTGCTAACATAGGGTTGGAATCGGTGGTTGGAAGCAATTGGCTGGAGGCGAGTGGGGGCGGAGTGCTTCCCAGGCAATTTTCTCCAGGCCCACAGTCCCCACCCTCCCTATTACAGACCACAAACTAAAACGTAAACTCCCTAAGGGCAGGGGTTGTTTTAGTCACTGTTACTTCCTTGGAAACTAGAACAGAGCCTGGAAAGTAACGGATGCCTGATAAGTGTTTAATGTTGAATGAAACGATCTCGGGCAGATGGGTAGATTAATGGGTAGATTTAAGACAATAGGGAGTGTCCAGAAATCATCATAATGTATTCCCCAATTAAAACACGTGTGTAAGACAAATACATTCTGCCACTCCTTAGGCAGAGAGAGTCCCCACATACCATTTTGCTTGCACTGCTATTTTTCTTATTATAAAGGAAGATTTCTCTGTATCCCTTCCACTATCAAAGATAGAGCCACAAGTTTCAAGGAAAATGAGAACAAACATAGACCCAGCACATTTGACTCATTTATATTCCTTGCCTACATCTAAATTTGTTTTCCTTTTTCTGGTTTTTTTTTTTAATTTCAGCATATTACAGGGGTACAAATGTTTAGGTTATGCGTATCACCCTTTCCCCACCTGAGTCAGAGATTCAAGCACATCTATCCCCCAGGCGGTGTGCACCGCACTCATTAGGTGTGTATATAACCATCCCCTTCGCCCCACTCCCATCGTCCCAACACCAGTGAATGTTACTACTATATGTGCACATAAGTGTTGATTAGTTAATACCAGTATTAACATACCAGTATTAACTGGTATGATGGTGAGTACATGTGACGCTTATTTTTCCATTCTTGGGATACTTCACTTAGTAGAATGGGGTTCGGCTCTATCCAGGATAATACAAGAGGTGCTAGATCACCATTGATTTTTGTGGCTGAATAGAACTCCATGGTATACATATACCACGTTTTATCAATTGACTCGTGTATTGATGGGCACTTGGGTTGTTTCCATATCTTTGCAATTGTGCATTGTGCTGCTGTAAACATTCGAGTGTCTTTTTTATAGAATATCTTTTGTTCTTTTGGGTAGATACCCAATAGTGGGCTTGCTGGATCAAATGGTAGTTCTACTTGTATCTCTTTGAGGTATCTCCATATTACTTTCCACAGAGGTTGTACTAGTTTGCAGTCCCACCAGCAAGGTATGAGTGTTCCTATCTTTCCACATCCTTGCCAACATTTATTGTTTTGGGACCTTTTGACAAAGGCCATTCTCACTGGAGATAATGGAGATAAGTAATATCTCAGCTTCTGAGAGAGAGAGAGAGAGAGAGAGAGAGAGAGAGAGAAGAAAGGAGGCCTAGTACCCACGATAACAAACTGCTCTACCATTCTACTCTCTCATCCTGTCCAGTAGTTTTCTGCACTACAATCTATATCTACATTGGGGAGTAAGTAAAAGGATGAACATAAACCTACTCTGGAAAATCACTAGTTAAACCTAACATTGCTCTACATAGTCAGAATAGCAATGTGGAATTTACTGGTATTTACAGTTAGAAAGGTACTGGGCCAAATCTCCTGCACATAGAGAAATTGTCTAACCTCTAAGAATCTCCCGTTGCTCTGCAGGGTAGTTGAGAAAACTTAAAAATTATGTATGTTGGACTTCTGGCTTCCACTTAGAGTATACAAAGCTGGAAAAAGTATTATTTCCAAATGTACAGCAAAAAACTTCCTAAATAATCTGCAGATTAACGACTGCTATTAAACTCATCAAAGAGCTGAGGTCATCTGGTAACCAACTAACTCCAAGTCTAGAGAAAGTTAAGTGCCTCCCAGGAGTGACAAGACACAAGCACTTGCCTACTGGAGCAGACATGAGACCCCTTATGAACCAATAAGAAGAATTCAGCCAAAAATTGTTAACAAATTTCTCAATGTAACCTAGGTGAAAGTATAGAACTTGTGGGATCTTCAACGTAACAGGAATTCACACCCACTCACAGGCTCTTCTCCATGAAC